TCTCACTCGCTCTGCACCCCACAAGCGGCGCGCGGCCCGGCTGTGCCCTCGGGTCCCTCTCGCTCGCTGTCACGGCTGCTCCCGGTGCCCCAGGGCGCCCGTCTCGGCACGGTTCCTGCAGCCCGGCTCTGGCAGGGGCTGCTGCAGCACGCTATGCACGGGCAGCGCAAGGGCAGGCCGCGTGTGCAGGCTGGGCATGAGGGGGACCCCCTGGCAGAGGGGCATGTCCAGGGGCTGCTCCTGAATGGGGCCTGGTGCTGGCACCCCACAGCCAGGGCAGGTGCCGGGGGTGGGGGCTGAAGTATTTGCAGAGACGCTGGCTCCTTGGCCTACCCAGGGGTTGCCGATTGCTCCCGCTGAAGTGAGCGGGGTCCTGCAAGGCTGCAAACCCATGCAGCAATAGGGGGAAGCCTTGCCACAGGCAGGGCAAGTTGGAGGCAGCAGGTCCCCCACGCCGTCACGGCCCGAGCGCCTGGGAAAGCCGGCCCCGGGGGTCGCAGCTGGCTGGACGCGTTGGAAGCGGCGCCAGGGCAGAGGGGGGCAGCCCCAGCTGTGCAGGGAGCCCCATCCCCACGGGCAGCCCGGATGGGCTGGCTTCCCTGCACCCTCCTGCCCCGCACGCGCTGGAGGCACACGCTCCGGCACGCGCCGCAGCAGGGCGCAGGCCTGCCCCGTCGCTGCTCTCCGAGCAATGCTCCCCCCAGCCTGGCTCCTCTCCTGCATCTCGGGCCAGTGCTCGTGGCAGCGAGGGGCAGGATGCCCGCGCGCGGGTGCCCCGCGGAGCTGTGCCCGAGGCAGGTGGCTGGGGCTGTCTGACGGCTGTCCCGAGTCCCCGGGAGGCGTCAGCCCCCGAACAAGAAACCCGGCACCTCGGGAGTACCCGTAACAGCAGGAATCTGTGCTTTATTCACAGGACAAGGGGCAGTACACGGGGTGGCCAGGACACGTTTTCTCAAGCATATCATACATCCCCGCTGTCGTGGTGCAGAGCGGTGCCCTCGTCCTGCCCGAGGCTCGCGGCTGCAGCGCTCGGCCCAGCCGTCCCCCCGGGGCCGCCCCGCGGAGCCCAGGGCCCGTGTCCGGTTCGGGGACGCTCCGCTTCGGGCCAGCAGCACGGTCCAGAGCCAGTCTGGGCGCGGGCAGTGCCGGGTCTGCACAGCGCAGTTGAAACCCCCCCAGTGCCCCCGGCCGGCCCGCGCTGCCCCTGCGATGGGCCTAGCCGTGCCAACGACGAGACGGGGACAAAGCAAGCCACGGGGCTGCCGGGCAGGGCTGAGTCTCGGGGCCAGGGCGGGACCCTGCGCCAGCCTCGGGTGCTGGGGCCGGCACGCGGTCGCCCCCCGTGCCCAGGTGCTCACTCCCAGCGGAAGTCCTGGCCGACGGTCTCATAAAACCGGACGTTGTAGGGCCGGTAGAAATCCCGGAGCTGCTCGATGACCTCGGGGTCGATCTGCACGTGAGTTCTCCCCTTGGACTTGCCCAGGCAGCGTGGCGAGCTGCTGCTCTCCGTCTTCTTCAGGCAGGGGAACCCTTTGGTCTTGTTGAAGTAGAAGTGCTGGTCCGTGATGACCCGCTTGAGGCCCAGGAAGTCCTGGACCTTGCCCATCTCCCCGGCGGGGTCGGTGATGAGCCGTTCCCCGCTGACGAAGTGGATCTGGGACAGGGGGAAGTACTGGAGCCAGGTCTCCAGGTGCAGCACGTACATGCCGATGCGGATGGCGCTCCACGAGGTGTCCACCAGCCCCAGGCTGCGGTTGCGGAAAGACAGCCCCTCGAAGGTGGGGATGTCGGGCTTCTTGGACAGCGTCTGCGTGTAGTCCGAGATGGCCCGCGTGACGGGGTTGCGCACCACCACGATCAGCTTGGTGTCCCGCGACATGGTGAAGATGCGCCGCGGCGCTTCCCTGGTCACGAAGTAGCTGGGGGTCTTCTCCATGGTGATCTGGGTCCCCAGCGTCCTGGGCATCAAGCTCCTGCAAGCAGAGAAAGCACCTGTTAGGCACGGCGCTCCCGCCCTCGCCCTCGCCCCGCGGAGCAGCTCGTCTCGCCCGGGCCCGGGGCCCAGCCCCCTCCTGAAGCCTGAGACCCGGGAGGCCACCAGCCACCAGCCGAGCTCCCCTCACTCCCCTTCGGCTCAGTGAGACACTTTGCAGGGGAAGGGCCAGGACACGCGTGTGTGCACGTGCGTGTGTACAGTGTCCCTGACCACCCTGATTGCCTTCGATGACGAGTGACCGGCTCCGTGGATGTGGGGAGGCCAGTGGAAGGGATATACTTTGGCTCTAGCAAGGCTTTTGATACAGTTCCCACAATGCTCTCGCAGGCAAGCTAGGGACGCACGAGCTGGATGAATGCACTGCAAGCTGGAGAGAAAACTGGCTGGAGCATCCGGCTCAGAGTAATAATCAATGGCTCAAAGTCTAGCTGGCAGCCGGTATCAAGCAGAGTGCCCCAGGGGTCAGTCCTGGGGCCGGTTTTATTCAATATCTTCATTAACAACCTGGAAGATGGGATGGATGCTCCCTCAGCAAGTCTGCAGATGGCACCAAGCTGGGCGGAGTAGAAGATGCACTGGAGGTGGGGCCAGGATTCAGAGCGACCTCGACACATGGGAGGATTGGACCAAAAGAAATCTCATGAGGATCAACAAGGACAACTGCCAAGTCCTGCACTTGGGACGCAGCGATCCCCTGCGCTGGGGCAGGCGGGGGGCGACGGGCTGGGCAGCACTGCAGAAAAGGCCTGGGGATGACAGCGGGCAACGAGCTGAACAGGAGCCAGCCGTGCGCCTCTGGTGCCAAGAAGGCGACCGGCAGCCTGGGCTGCAGGGGTAGGAGCGGTGCCAGCAGATCCAGGGCAGTGATTCTCCCCTCTGTTCAGCACAGGGGGGCCACATCAGGAGGGGCTAGTTGTGGGCCCCCACTACAGAAAGGATGTGGACACACTGGACAGAGTCCAGCGGAGGGCAATGAAATGGTTGGGAGCTGGGGCACAGGACTGGTGAGGAGAGGCCGAGGGAACTGGCCTGGAGAAGGGGAGACCGAGGGGGATTGAGCAGCAGCCTCCAGCTCCTGGCACAGGGGCTGCACAGAGGATGGAGCTGGGCTGCTCTCGGAAAACTCCCTCACGAGGAGGGTGGTGAAGCACTGGCACAGGCTCCCCAGAGAGACGTTGAAGACCCGGCTAGACAAAGCCTTGGCTGGGACGATGGAGTTGGGGCTGGTCCTGTTTGGAGCAGGGCCTTGGACTAGATGTGACCCCCTGAGCTCCCTCCCACCCTCATTTTCTAGGATTTTATGTAGAGTGTGTATGTGTGTGCATATAGTGTGTGTGTGTGTGTGTGTGTGTGTGTGTGTGTGTGTGTGTG